TCCTCTTTACACTCCACCTTTCCTGCTCCTTTTAAAGAAATACTATAGTGCCAGGAAAACAAAGTTGTTTTCCTGGCACTATAATTCCGTATAGTGCCCCCCTCCTCTCATGTCCTCCCCTCCCCCACTCGACACTGGAGGGGTTAAAATCCTATGGGTATTTAGCAGATGCTGGATGTCCTCATGCACAGGGTGAGGACGTCCAGCATCAGTTAGGTGACTTTTGGTCACCTAACCACCCGAAAGTCCCTCTAGTGGCTGTCTGATAGACAGCCACTAGAATTGGAGTTACCCCTCAGGTAATTATTGCAGTTTCTGAGAAGGTTTAAGGGGACTGGGACACTGCACCCAGACCACTTCAAGGAGCTGAAGTAGTCTGGGTGCCTATAGTGTCCCTTTAAGCACACTCTCTGACAGACACCCACACTGGCAGATACACACTGACAGTAACACACACATTCAATGACAAACACACAGACTTCACTGATTTGACACACACATTCACTGACACACACTCATTCATTGACAGAGAGACACACACTAATAGTCACACACACTAAATGACAGACTCTCACTTATTTGACAGAAACTTACAATAACGTATGCACATACATGCAATTGCAAACATACACATGCATACACTAACAGAAGCACATACACTCACATACACACATACAAACGCTAACAGACATAAATACACTCCTACACACACTGAGACAAACAGACATCCACAGACAGACATCCACAGACAGACATCCACAGACAGACATCCACACGTCCACAAACAGACATCCACAAACAGACATCCACACATCCACAAACAGACATCCACAAACAGACATCCACACATCCACAAACAGACATCCACATCCACACATCCACAAACAGACATCCACATCCACACATACACAGACATCCACACATACACAGACATCCACACATACACAGACATCCACACATAGACATCCACACATCCACAAACAGACATCCACACATCCACAAACAGACATCCACACATACACAGACATCCACACATACACAGACATCCACACATACACAGACATCCACACATACACAGACATCCACACATACACAGACATCCACAGACATCCACAGACATCCACACATCCACAAACAGACATCCACACATCCACAAACAGACATCCACACATCCACAAACAGACATCCACACATCCACAAACAGACATCCACAAACAGACATCCACACACAGACACCCACACATCCACACAGACATCCACACAAACAGACATCCACACATCCACAAACAGACATCCACACATACACAAACAGACATCCACACATCCACAAACAGACATCCACAAACAGACATCCACACATCCACAAACAGACATCCACATCCACACATCCACAAACAGACATCCACATCCACACATCCACAAACAGACATCCACACATCCACAAACCCACAAACAGACATCCACACATCCACAAACCCACAAACAGACATCCACACATCCACAAACCCACAAACAGACATCCACACATCCACAAACCCACAAACAGACATCCACACATCCACAAACCCACAAACAGACATCCACACATCCACAAACCCACAAACAGACATCCACACATCCACAAACCCACAAACAGACATCCACACATCCACAAACAGACATCCACAGACAGACATCCACAGACAGACATCCACAGACAGACATCCAGACATCCACACACAGACATCCACACACAGACATCCACAAACAGACATCCACAAACAGACATCCACAAACAGACATCCACAAACAGACATCCACAAACAGACATCCACACATCCACAGACATCCACACATCCACAAACCCACAAACAGATATCAACAAACAGACATCCACAAACAGACATCCACAAACAGACATCCACACATCCACAAACAGACATCCACAAACAGACATCCACACATCCACAAACAGACATCCACACATCCACAAACCCACAGACATCCACAAACAGACATCCACAAACAGACATCCACACATCCACAGACATCCACAAACAGACATCCACACATCCACAAACAGACATCCACACATCCACAAACAGACATCCACAGACAGACATCCACTAACAGACATCCACTAACAGACATCCACAAACAGACATCCACACATCCACAAACAGACATCCACACATCCACAAACAGACATCCACATCCACACATCCACAAACAGACATCCACAAACAGACATACATATATACAAATTAATAATAATATAAAAAAATTAACATTTCCCACCCACCCAGCATCCCTACCTTTCCCTGGGGTCCAGTGGGGCTGCAGTGAGGACGGCTCTCTCCCTGTCACACGCGGAGAGGGAGCTGTGTGCTCTCTGCTCCCTCTCGCCGCGCGGGATGTCTGCTGATGCCGGGAGCCGGAATATGACGTCATCAACCCGGCTCTCAGTATCAGCAGACATCCCGCGCGGCGAGAGGGAGAAGAGAGCACACAGCTCCCTCTCCGCGTGTGACAGGGAGAGAGCCGTGCGCCGGGGGGCAATCCATCAGGTTGCCCCCCCCCATGACAGGGGAAACAAAGGGGGGCATTTGAGGGCGGCATTTTTTGCCGCCTCCTGAGTGCCTGCAGGGGGAACGGCGTTCCTGCTGTGAAAAAAGTGCAGGAACGCCGTTCCCACGCGTTCCTGCAGGACTCGAGCCCTGTGTCTGTGGATCCTAACTTGCCCTATGTCTGTCTGTTATTACAGTCTCCCATTTGGTCCCCTAGGTGAGTGTCCACCAAGTGGGAGACCTGCATAAATACGGGCAGGTAGCCCACAGTAAAGCCAGTTCTTGTTTTACCCTCAATGCGGAGCTTGGTCTCGTTATTGGGGGGATTTATTACCGATGACTAGAGACTGCTGGATGGGATTATTAGCCGCTTGGGAGATATATGCGTTCGGCTACTATTGGCGATTCGTGAGTTTGGAGCTCGTGGAGTGAAGTGCCCGTACAGATCCCGTTCATGAGTTTGCAGTGTTCCCTTGCTTGCGGTTCGCATGATTGTACTAGATACGCATGCAGCCTATACTACTGTGAACAGGGAGCATTCACTAAACGGCGGTTTGTACATTTCATGCTGAGGGTACCGTAACAGAGTCGAGGCTGCGATTTGAGGGTCAAACACGAACTGGCTTTAATGGCACAGGGACAGCGTTATTTATGCAAAATCCCAGGTCCAGGGACAGCCCCCTCTGGACCTAATGGGATACCGGGACAATACACACAGTTATCCATATGACAATATACTTTATCGTTTGAAATAGTCCCCGCCCCGCTTGGAGATAATGATTCCAACGGTTATGGCAATTCAGTTATCTCCAAGTGCCCAGAGTCCCACGTGTATTTCCAACATGTAAAAACAGCATAAAATATATATTCATAACAGTTTACTAAATACCCCTTACATTCTACCATTTATTAGATAGCTCAGGTCTGAGCGCATCATATAGACGAATAGCGCTCAGACCTCACGAATGGTATAGCCAGTCTCTTGTATATAAGTCTTTTCGTGTTTCTTTGTCCCGAACACGAGATGGTGGCCATCTTTTCTATCCGTGAATAGGCGAGCGGGTCTCGGCTTCAAAACCCCTGGAGCAAAACACGGGTAGCATGCTGTACGAATACTGCTCTCTGGCTGGTTGTCCCAACCCTTCGTGAACCGAACGTAGATCGCCCTGAAAGGGCCAATTAGCCTGCGGTTAATCGCAGCCTGCCGGTGGTTGTCCATTCGGTTATTTCCGAGGTCAACAGGGTTAAGTGGCGGCACACGCCAGGGGCCGGGTGGTCTGAGTTTGTATGCACGAATATATAATCCTAGTTGTTCGTGTAAATGGAGTATAGGTAACAATAATACCAAAAGAACCGACTTTGGTAACTTAACATAGGGTAATCCAATACAGGTCTGTGGAGTGTCCGTAACAGTTAATTAGATGTGTTTGATCAGTAAAAGTAGAACTGTGATTCTATAATTCTCCTGTGTGTGGGGTAACCTAAGACACCCGGGTTTAAACGTCTTGGTGGTGGCAGTAAAGTGTGTACTAGGGGGTTAGTGTAGAAGGGATTGCAGGGGTTAATTGAGTGGTTGCTGGGACAAGCAACAGGTAACCAGGGGTCTGGTGTCATTAACCCTGTCATTTCCACACTCTCCCCACTGTCTCGGCTGGACCTATAGCCCACGCTTGTGACAGGTTCCACAGAGGGACTTGGTAAAGGTGATGAGAAGGACATGCTGATTATGGAACTGGTCCCTGGGGTAACACGGGCCACCATTTCAGCTCACGTATCAGCCTGAAGTCCGATCTTGCCTTGTATCCAGCACTGGGGGCTGGAATTTACCTGTGACTGCTCCTGTCAATTATGGTGCACCTGTAGCTTATGCCTAATTAGCCAGGTATAAGACACTGCCTCGCCCTGAGGGCAGTGGCAGTTCATTGACTCTGGTTCCTGTGTTAGTATTCGTGATTCCAATGTTCTCCAGTTGGTTCCTGACCTTGGCTTTTGTATCGTGTATCCTGACTTCTGGCACCCTTTGATAACCCATTTACTGTCCTCCAAACTGATCAAACCTTATCTATGTGCTACAATGTCCTTTTCACTGACCCATCC